TAACAATTCCACACTTTTACGGATGCTTCAAATCTCTAAATTTACTTATGGCAAAAAGCGGATCAATTAAGTGTTGAGCATTGCTATTGGGGGTTGAAATTTCGAAGGTCACCATTCGAACATCGATATTATTCAATCACTGAATATTTATCCTTTATGTGTTTATTTACGATTACTTTAGACTTAGAGTAATAATCGAGATAAGAAAACACTGAACTTTCGAACTTTGTTTGGCCCTCTGACAATATCTCCACGACAAAATATCCCCAAGATAAAATATGAATTATTTTCAAAATATATTATATTTTATTCAATAAATTTACGTATTTTCTCTTAATGTGTTAGTAAAATATTTCACTGTCGGGATATTTTGTTAGTTTTATTTGTATTGGAAATATTTTGTCCAGGGATATTTTGTCGAGGCTCAAATATCATGAAACCGTTAATCGAATGGAAATGCAGTTTTCTACATTCAATTCGTGAAACTGTCTACAAACTTGTCAATTAATTTTCAGATATGCATAGGTGCATAAAAAAAGCTGCCTTATTAGTACATTGCAAGGTTGTTATTAAAAAAAATTGCAATTCGATCAATAATAATAGAACTAATCGTAAGTCCAATTTTATTGCTCTGGAGTTTTGAGGCTCGTTGAACACGAATATCCAGTTGGCGACAGTCTTGCCTTGTTCCCGATGATCGACGACATGATCCCCTAGTCAATAATTTCAATTGAGTTTTAATTAATTTAAAACATAACTCCTTAAGACGACGCGTATGACAGTCGACCTAGGTCCCTGGAGCCCTGGAGGCCGTCGTCGGCTGCATATTCGCATCTCAAAACCTCAGAGTAAAAAAAGTTAACTCAATTCTATTATTATTGACCGAGTTGCAAATTATTTTTTATAACAATTTTACAATAAACTTATAAGACTTATGCGTCGATGCATTTTTACATTAAAAAATACAGGAAATTCAGTTAATTTTTTGGAACGAAGTTCATCGTTTTTGATTAGAATATTTAAATTTTCCTACCCTCATCATCATCATCATAAGGTCATCAGTCCTAAGACTGGTTGGACACGTACCTCCACTCTTTCCTATCCTGAGCTAAACTTCGCTTTTCCCTAAAACTAGAACAGCCCACATCCTTAACTATTTGCGAACAGTAATCTAATCTAGGTCTACCTCTACCCCTCCTAACTCCTGTTTCTTCCTCTAATATATCTCTGACTAGACCTTCATGCCTACAGAAATATTAATTGTCTATGCACACACAATACCTACCTAGCAGTTCATTAAGAAGCAATATTCTTATACGAATTCAACCACGCCAATTAAGAAAATAAACAATTTTTAAATTCTACTACGTCACTATTTACTTTCCAATAATATGCAGTTACCTTTTTATGGGATGAAAGGAGTAATAAACTTAATGACATTTCACCAGACGTTTTAATTACGATTAACATTGTTTATACAAAAAATGCATTTAAATACATAAATACATTAAGTTTCATATAAATTCCAATGCAATATTTTGTAGAAGTATAATTACAAGCTATAATTTTCCAATTTTTTTTAATTAATTTAGAATGTTTTTTCCATCGCCTCATATAAGGTGACATTTCAGTTAACTATTTTTAGTATTTACTACAACAAAAAGTAATTGCACAACTATTAAGTTAATATTAGAAAAGTACTTCAATATGTCACATCGTTATTGTCATATTGGATACTTAATAACACATATATAAAAATGTAAATTAAAGAGAGGATTGACGTTTTTCTAACGATTTCAAAGAAAAAAAGAATACTAAAGAGCTACAGCATATTATGCAAACCTTTTTATACTTTCTTAATGCCTTTCGTATTCTTAAGGTACCATGCCTCAGGTGTCGGTGTTACATAACAGCATCATCATTAACACATGGTACATAACATCTCATATCATTTCACCCCTTATGGTTGCTTCTAATTTAAAAAAAAATGTTAATATATCATCGGGGAAAGGATAAAATGATTAGGTTCTGACTTTGAAATAACTAATACTGGAATCTATTAGCTCTCCCCAGTAATCGAATGTTACATATAGTTCTAAAGACATTATTAGTCCTAATTATCACTTAATAACGGTTAATGAGATGAAGTTCCTATGTTTAAACAAATTTTGTCTGGCATTTAAGTAAGTCAATGACCTCTAAAAAGTTTATTGTTTTGTATTAAAATATTTAACGCATAATTTATATTATATATGAATTCTAATTGCGCGTTTAACGGAAGAAGAAAAAAACTCTAATTTAAATTTGTTCTTCGAGATGGGACGACTTAGGTTATTGCAAAAATTGATAGAGTTTCTTCAATGGGACATCCTTTAGCTTGTTCTTCCAACAGAAGGCGCCAATGCTGGTTGCTATGGATTTCTCTAATTGGTTAATTCTTCACCGATTGAAATAAAAAAAGTGGAAAAAATGCTTGTAAAAAGAAATACTGAAATTATATTACAACTAGCATTTATCAGCAGCTTCTCTCGCGTTCTAAATACGTATCAAACATGGTCGACGACCACATAAAATAGTATGTTTTTTCTGTATAAAAGGTACCCTATTTCGTTTTCTGTACCCCTCACAATGTATCTATAAAATTTGATGATAAATAATCGATTGAGTGGTTAAGACGTAAAATCTACCACATTTTTCTATCCCTCGATAACAATATTTTTTTCTGGATAAAAGGTGTCGTATGTCTTTTTCTTCTCTTCCCAGACATGAAGGTCTAGTCAGAGACATATTAGAGGCAGAAACATGAGTTAAGAGTGGTAGAGGTAGTTTCTGTTGTTTTCGTTATTAAGTAATAAGTAATTATAGAAGCGTTCTAGTAAAATTTAAATTCCGAATTTGGCAAATTTTTATAATTGATAAAATGTACAATTATTAAGAAACAAATTGATTGTGGAAATGATTCTTTCTTTGACTAGCAACTTAGGTAGTCACTTTCAGTAATAGAATGTGTAAAATGTATATAGTTTTGTATAATAATTAAATAATGTAAATATTTTTTTTCAAATAGTGAATTGCATACCATATATTAACGAAAGTAATTGACAGAACTTTTTTTGGTATTTAGGAAGTTAGATATGTTACAACGGAAGGGATATAAACCAGAAGATCACGTCACCTTCAATAAAATGAAGTCAATTAAACGATTAATATAGAAATTCGTAAGAGATTATTAAAGTGTATGTTTGGAACGTGGCACTGTACGGGTGCGAAACACGGACAGTAGACCCAGCGAAAATGAAAAGGTTACAAGCGTTCGAAATGTGGTGTTACAGGTGAATGGTGGGGATACCGTGTATAGAGAAGGTTAAAAATGAAGAGGTATTAGAGAGAGTAGGATAACGGAGGACTCTATGGAAATCAATGCAAAGTAGGCGAGATAGGTTAGTGGAACACCTTCTCAGGCATGAAGGTCTAGTTAGAGACATATTAGGGACAGGAGTTAAGGGGATCAGAGGTAGACCTGGATTAGATTACTGTTCGCAGATAGTTAAGGATGTGGGATGTTCTAGTTTAAGGGTAATGGGAAGATTAGCTCGGGATGGAAAAGAGTGGAGGTACGTTTCCAACCAGTCTTAGGACTGACGATCTTAAGATGCTGATGATGATGATGATGATGATGATCTTGTATGCTCAGCTTAGGGAGTAAATACACCAAAAAACACAATCAAATTGAGAATATCCCTTTTATGAAGTCGATTTTATCAATCAATGATTTTCTATTCTTCTCCCAATTTCACAATTTATCAGGCACGAAGGTCTAGTCAAAGATATATTAGAGGCAGAAACAGGAGTTACGAGGAGTAGAGATAGACCTAGATTAGATTACTGTTCGCAAAAAGTTAAGGATGTGGGATGTTCTAGTTTTAGGGATATGCGAAAATTAGCTCAGCATAGGAAGAAATGGAAGTGCATGTCCAACCTGTCTTAGGACTGACGGCCTTATGATGATGACGCCAATAAGGTTAGGATTTGGTTAGTTTCTCTTGTACTACGTATTCGATTTTTAATATCTACCCCTCTGAATTGAAACAGAATGCTTGATTGTTTACACTCATCGAAAGCTATAAAACAAATGTTACATTTTGAGCTTTGGTCGCAAGGAAGTGTTCAATCTTAAAATTGGTCATTTTGATTTTTTCCTTAAACATACATATGTAGTTACATAATTTTTGTGTGCATTTAAGGCTGAATCATCACTATGTATAAATATCACACCCATTTCTGTTTCACCATAAACCAATGGTTTCCAACCTTTTTGTACCTGCGTCCCCCTTTAAAAAAAATTGTTGCGCCCCCTTAATTTTTCTAATAATTACAACATTATAAAAATTTAATGCGACGGTTGAGCTTGTTTTTCAGCCAAAATTTTCTCAAACCGTGGTATCATTGAAGAAATCGCGGTTCTCAGTTCCTTTTTAATCACTAAGCGAGATCGATAATTTGTTTTTAAGACAGCTACTGTACAATGTGGATGGATGTTTTAGTATTTGTACCTAAAAATTCGTGGCGAGGATTGTGGATTACGTATATCTACCTATTTTGCCGATTCGTGTTTTTGACACCTATTCGACCTTTTTTGTTTGTGCGCCCCCTTGCAACAGTCTCCCCCTAGGGGGGCGCGCCCCACAGGTTGGAAACCATTGCCTTAAACCAAAAAATAACCAAGAGTCATCCTTGACAGCTTTCTCTTAACATTCAAATATTTTTCGTTACCGTAGGTACAACCGCCCTTGTATTGACGCAGCCTATAGGACGTCATAATTCTTTTTTATTCACAAACCCCATTCAATAATAAACGTCAACAACAGAACATCACGTCATGGACATGTAAGATTAATTTACATCGAGATTCCCTCCCCGCCAATCGGTGACCCGCCGTCCTACAATAAATATAATCATACGTATATAGCCACGTTTTAATAAACTTCCTCCTTCAGTACGTCGATCGCCACTAATTTATTTTAGAGTTAATGAAGCTTTCCAACGGCAGGTAAATCAAGTGAAAATCGTCGTCGATCTGATTTTGAATGTTCTCGTCCGATCGGTCGGTCAGTTTCGAATCGACAACTTGCAGTTGCAGTCGAAATTGAACGAAAATTTCGAGCACAACAAAAGAGTAATGTTGTAAACATTCATACATTAGTGCATCTGTGAACTTCAGTGAAAAAGCACCACTAATTAAAGGAACTTTTTAGTGAAACCTGTGATATTTAGTAAGTAGCTGTATTTTACTAGTGGTAAATTTTACCAAAAACCACATAGTATTTTAAACCAAATTTTCACTTTTTACATAGATATTTCCTTTTTTATTTTTTGTAAAGTGAAAGTACCTAGCACCTTTTTTTTAATTTAATTAAATATTGTTTTGTTAACATTTTTTCAATTATTACTCTTATTACTTCATCGGCCTGCACACTAGAACGTATTAAAACCAAGAGTTTTAATGTTTCAAGTTAATTATTTTGAAATTTTGATTATTTATTTGTCCTCTTTCAATTTTTAGATTTTATTAGTACTTATCAGAATTTTCATATTTTCTTAAGTAATACATAACTGTTGCACTTCTAACTAAAGGTTGTTGAAATTATAACTAACAATTTCATTTTATTTTCTAGTTTTGGTAAATTATTTTAAGGTATATATTTGTCTTTCCGCATTTTATTAAATCCCTAGCCTTTTCTTATTTTAACATCTCCTAAATAATTTTATATACGTTTATAAATTAAAAATGAGAAATAATTACGTTCAGCTTCTTGGAAACTTTGTTTTGAGTATGGACATCTACTAATTTATTTTTAATATGCAACGCATAATTTAGTAAAATGAATTCTATTGTCTGTTATGTAAAAGCTTGTTGTTTATATGAAATTTTATATTTATTTTTTAAAATTTCTTTATCATCATGTTGTTCGAGTCTATAATAAATAATGATTTATTAATCATTGAAAATTACATACAAATTACTTTTTCTTATACTGTAGGCATACATTCTGATTATAAGCACATATTTAACTACTTATTTATTACATCAATCATTAAGCCACAATCATCATTCATTTAGGTTGCATGAGATATCCTAAAACTCGAATAGTTTGTGATGGTTTGAAGTAAATTGATATTTAAATTATTAGAGGGTTAATTACCCTGTTATGTAATGATCTGTTGTCATTGCTAAATACTTATATAACAACCAAACAGTCTATTATACCTAGATGAAAAAAATTATACTTAAATAACTCAAAAATTTCAAAAATTTTCCTTAAATGTAAAGAATTATTATCGATCAAGAAACTGATAATTGCAGTTTCCGATCGTAATTAAAATCTCTTGGTTTTTACTAGGTACTTTTCTTTTCTTAGCATTCAGTTTTTTTTCTCTGAAACAATTTGCCGGTGTTACAAAATAGGAATATCAAAATTCCCTTTTTATTTAATTTAAACGGCAAAGCAATGTTAATGATTTCAAATTATGCTAGTAATGAGAATATATGAATAAGCAGCTAAGCTTTTGTTAATTAAAGATTTCTAAGCACTATTTTCAAGGACATCCTACTAGGTTCATGTAAATTTAATACAAATACTTACGAAATAATGATTGGAATGCAGTCCGAATTAGAAAAGAAAGTGATACTATTTGGAATTATTAAATATTCATATCAATTCACAACAATGTCGAAAAATGTTGGGTCAAAACGGCTACCAGAAACCGGCAATTAATTGATTATGACGTGATTTTGGAAAAGACTAATACGGTCAAGGAATTGACTTAGCATTTCAGCAACACATCCTAATCTTGGTGTTATTCTTCCGTAATCGGTTGTTATTTTTTCAAGATTTATTGTAACAGAAACTAACATAAAGTAAGTCAAAGGGGGTAGGTAAGGTTATGGTATAAAAGCCTCCGTTTTCCCCATTTACACAACTCATGCCTGACGGAGAACAACAGTAAAACACAATGAATATGACATCGTATACCAAAAATGTCTAATTTAGTAGTTTTCCTACGAATATTAATTAGGGTTTATGAATTTGGATTAGGTACAATTTTGTTTATCGGCCTTTGACCATTTTTTGTAGTCAGAATAATCAATTAATAAATGCAAAACATAAATAAATTTATCAATAGGTACTTACTAAAACCGAATTATTAATCAACGGACACATATCAATACTTTCTTATAAAAATAAATTAAGTACTAGTCATTAATTTTATTACAATAGTCATTCGTAAACATATACCGTATGCAAAAGAGTGGGCCTTGGCATAAGGAATCTCAAATTGTATCTACACTATGCGAATATCCGCCCGTGTGGATGTCTCACGCAGTTTCCAACAAGCAGTAAATGTGCGTCCGCCGTCCTTATAACTATTTGTGAGAACACATAACACAATGCCAAGTCCGCACTTTCGCATACGGTATAGCGTCCAGTAAATCTAAAAATAGTTAACAAATATTTTTAATATTATATTATAATATTATAAATGCAAACGTGGGTTTGTTTGCTACGATTTCACGCCTTAACTACTCAACCGATCATCACGAAATTTTGTATACACATTGTCAGGGGTACATAAAAGGACATAGGGTACCTTTTATCCAGAAAAAAATATCGTTCCCGAGAGTTACAAAAATTAGTTTTGTGTGATAATATAAAAATTGCCAAAACTGTTTAGATACATATGTATATGTAAAGAGTGGTCTACAAATGTTGTTAAAAACTAACAATTGCTAAAATAAAAGAACGTATACATTTTACAGTAACGTAAGTAATGTTTGAAATATCATCTACAACTTTTACAATTGTCATATTCCTATCAACATCGGCAAGGTTGAAAAAAATTATTAAAGTTTAGATAAGTACATGAAAAAACATTAAAAAGTCATTACGAATCTACGGAAAAAGACTAAAACAACATCCGCCACTAGCAGCAACGATATCTGCTCATGACAACCATTATTTCTTCGAGATATTTTTATTTCATCATATTTTAAAGTAAAACATGACATTGATGACTAATATGAGTCAAAATACATTACACAGTACAATAAAAGCTCTTTATTCGCGGGGTACAATATGCCGCGAATACAGAAACCGTAGATATGGAATGGCAATTAACATGGAATCATAGGGGATACGTTCTAATGTTCCGAAATGAAACCAATATGTATCAAAATAAAATCAATGTATTGATAAATTCGCAATTAAAATTAATCGTTATAGTCAGCTTTAGGAAAGAGTTTAAAAAATTGTTGATTTTTTCTTGTTTTGAATTTTCAAAATAGTCCACTCGATTACATCTTTTATAAAAGCTGCCTCGGCACGTACCAACAGTACATAGTCAAAAGATGCCGATACATTAAGGGGATTCAGTAGTACACGCGTCGTAGAGTAAAAACATGCTTATCGGTTCTAGATATCATGAGTTTAATGTTTGGAACAGAGGTTTGAAATTATGTAGTAAGATAGATAAAGTTTTGTTTTAAAGCCTATCGAAGGCAATTTTTTAATTTCTTAATTTCTATTGAAAATACGTGTCCCACAAGAAGCATCATCTTTAAGCACTTGTAAAAGCTATTGATGACCATATTATTGAAAACTAAAAACGTGCCGAGTTAGTGTGAACCTTTTTTTGTTACCATACAAAAAATCAGATATTTATCTCGCAACGTTAAATTACAATATTTAGAATAGAAACCCATTACTTTCGGAAAAATTCACAGTAGGCACGAGCGGTGTATTGCGATCAGTTCCCTTAATAAATGACACCGAATCCTCTTCTATTTACCGCTTGCATCCGCGAATAATGAAATTTTTAGCCGCGAATACAGGAACTGGGTTGCAATTTTTTCACCCGCGAATAATGAAAACGCGAATAAGGAAACCATGAATAAGGAACTCTTACTGTATATCAAAAATTGCCGAATTATGCTAGGATTATAAAAAAATTTAATTGATCTTCAGCGCATCTCATAATGCTTCTTAAAGATATATCGTTCAAAGCTAATGAATTCCAGCAGAAGGCGTTTGAGAATTGTTTATCCTTTAGGAGAAAAACGGAAATAGTGAATTATAATGATTGAAATTCGCGTTCCAGTCGCACTCATCAAGTGAAAATGGCATTAACACGTAGATAAATAGATACACACACAGACAAAACGATAAACTTAGGTTATGTATGTTGAATTATTGAGTAGAAACTGGGTACACAAGTACATACCCCAAATCCTTCTCATTACGGATTTCAGTAAATCATACCATAATTAAATCAGTTGTAATATCCAGGCCTTCAACAGTCGACGCTAAAATCAAAATGAATTAAACTGCCTTTATTAATTGTGCACCTTCCTTGTAGATAGAAGCCATAAATCTGTATGGGCACACTTTATTACTTCCTTTTGTGAGACAATAATGTAAACAGTTTCATTAAAAATATTATTTACGGTATACGACATAAAACTGTAATAATACAGAGTATTCCTTACATGCATACATAAATACTTATGACAAAAGGTGTTACTTACAATTGTTACAAAATAACAATGCTGAATTATTCAAGATTGTTAAATATCCTTTTTTATTCAATTTTCAAGCATAATAATATTTCACTTTTATATGAATAAGTCATTAAACAACCGAAATAAATTTGAAACAATTGTTGATTTAAAAATGAATAAGACAAAAACAAAAGAATTATTGAAATTCAAATTAGTGTGCCTATTTATTTAATGTGCATATTTACCTTTGTTACCCATATTTTTTATAATTATATATAAATTAAAATTATTTAAAGTTGTATACCTTTTCCTAAAATGTTATAGCTACTAAACTAAATTTATTATATTTAAATTTCAGCCTGTCTAAAACCTAACCTAACCAACGTATATATACCTAACTTTTTTTGCTAATTTTATAACAGGCTTTAGCCTAAGGATTTCTTTGTAGTAATGGCATATTGACATTTTTCTTCATATGCATATAATATTTTTTTGAACACGAATAATTGTCACAATCAATTTCACACCTACAATCGCAATTCTTAATTGCGATGACACTGTTTTTTTTTTGTATTAATTGCCAACATATGTAAGAGATAATGTTGGTACATGATGTTAATTTCAATTAGGATGTTACCCACAAACTTCTGGCATTTTCACCAGAAGCAATCGTCGACCCAGAAACCTGTTTGCATGGTTTTCACTTTTATTTTCATT